TTTATTTTAGATCTAAGGGCAGATCACTGTAAATGAATAAAGAACTCTTTAGTGTGCAGTGTATAGACGGTTCTTAAGTCGCATCTACATTTTTGAAACATTTCAAGTTTTTCTCCTATTTTTATCACTTTTTAAGTTAATTCAAATTTAATTCTAAATATAATTACTTCTCAGTGGATTTGATTTTTGATAAAATAAAATATATCTATATGGCAAATGGGTTTATAAGATGCTCAAATATGCCAAACAATACTAGATTTCTTTAGTGATTGGCGTATTTTTTTTTATTTGTTTTATCTTTTTATATGTTGCTCTTTATATTTCAAAAATTTATGGTCAAAATTCCCCCCCCCCCAAAAAAAATGTTATAATAAACATTAGTTACTGTATTGAAACGGAGTATATTAGAAAACTAATAAAAGAAAACTCATTTATGATTGGAAAGAGTTTTGATTGAAAAGTTTTTTTCTAAATATTGTGAAAGATGGTCTTTAAATAGCAATAGTATATAGATTAAATAGTGATCTAATACTAAATTGATATATGTGTTCCTTTTTTTAATGTTCAAATTATTCATGATAACTTATCTTCTTAACAATGATTTCAAATTTTAAAAAGATGTTTGAAAGAAAAAAATACCAGTAATTGCCAGGCAAACTCTCTATCTTATAAACCAATATTAATGCATAATATACAAATATTTTCACATGAATAATAATACATGCCAAATAAAGCGATACATGTGTATATGTTGTCTTTATTCCACAATTGACACGTAAGCAAAATGACTAGACTAAAAGCTCTCAGTTTTACTCTGTTGGCAAAGTAATCCCTAGGGGAAGAAGCAATGAAATAGTTCCCTATAGTGGTAAACTATGAAAGCTTTTTTAAAAAACCGCTGTCTTTGAGAATAAAAGCATGGATTTTTAAGCAGTTGTTCGTATTAGCACTGAATGGCACTCGCTGTAATAAGTCAGAACCCTCGGCAGTGGTTAATACGAAGTTGTCATTGAAATGTGTTATTGACGTTTTCTGCCGAAAGCAGTGGAGTAATTATAAGAAAGAAGGGGAGCGGTAAAAGGGGTGTTCGAGGGGCCAAACGTGAATCTACAAGGCAATCTACAAGAAAAATTAAGGAACCCGGTGATTACTGCGTCGTCAATGCTAGATGTCTTTATCGCATTTCCTTTAATGAACTAAAAGATGAAGGGTCGTTACAAGCTGAATTAGATACAGAGTTCTGGTTAAGGTAAGGAAACTTCCTTGGGTTTAAGAGTTTATTATAAAATGAAATAATGCACTTTGATTCTAATGCAGACCGATAATTACTTTTTTGAATATTTTTATGATTGAACGGCCTTTAAATTTATACATTAGACACAAATATATATAAAAGAGTGCATTATATATATATATATATATATATATATATATATATATATATATATATATATATATATATATATATATATATATATATATATATATATATATATATATATATATATATATATATCATGATAAGAACAATTTGTACCCACAGATGCACATAATAAGGGAAAATGACAGCCAGTATTGATTTCATGGTTGAGCCTGAAAAATATTCATCTCATATACGATATTCTCATGCGATACCATATAATTTACGGTTAGAAATCTGTTTAGAAATTTCTTTTCTCTTACACGCAAAACATAGAAAATTTCATTATTGGCAATTAATATGAAGCTGAATTTAAATATGATAGTTAAAAATGCTTTCATGGAAGTTGCTATGATAAACATTCATCCTATATATATATTTTTCCCCTAGTTCTTTTAAAATGATATCAATATATTTTATAAACTGTCAAAATGTTTGTATGGCTGAAAAAAGAAAAAAAATGTAGCTTAGTCATCCCCTCCCCCTTTATAATAAAACAAAAATAAATACTGTTAGGTAAAATATATTCTGCTCACTTGTATAATTATGAGGGTTTGTTATTCCATATAAGCTAGTGAGTGTATACACTGTTTACACATGTATCTTTGATTTTTTGAAGGGTACATTTCTGTGTAATAATGCTCAAGTAGCTTATTAATGTCGTTAAGGTGAGGCAGGATCCAGAAATGTTTCAAATATCCAGTTTAAGAAAATGTAGCCAAAATTTTTCCTCAGAGGGAAGAAAACGTATTCAGTTTATGTACTTCTAAAATTTTTCAAGCATAAAGCCCAAGTCTAGCCATTTTTAAAGTAGGATACTTTCATATTTATAAATTTATTAAACAAAGGGGAAAAAGCAATAAAATTTGCTATACTTTTAAATATACCTTTTGAAATATTAGCATCCTCCCCTGTTCCTTGTCAATTTATATTTCATGATTAAACAAGCTAATTGGATACTCTCAGAATTTCAGAAGAATTTTATTGAACTTATCTGCATAGTTGCTAATTTCGGAGCATTTTAAGTAATTTTTAAAAAAATATTTTTAGAGGATCTGAAAGAAATATCATTATATGATAAATGTAACTCATTCATGACAAAGAACAATTTGGGAAAAATTGGTTCATTATCACAGTTTATAATATCTTCACAACACACGCCTTTGAGATGCAGTATTTGTAATTGGTTGATCCATCAGATGTCTCTGTTCGCTATCCTCGCTATATCTTCACATTTTCATGAAATGAAAATTTTCAATGAAGGAATTTGGAAACAGTTAATCGAACAGTCATCGTATCCTTGCAGTATTCGACAATGTATCAATAATATATCGATTAAGTATATACATGTAGAAAAAGATAATAATTTTCTGTTGTTGGTGGGAGAAATCTAATATAATAATATTTGTGGTGCGTAATAAACTTTGAAGACGAAAGGTCATTAATGCCAGTAGAATTTTACCTAATCCTTATTTCCATATACCGGGGTACCAAGACAAGTTTCTTCTTTTGTTTAATTACTTTCCTTAGGCATTTAAATATGATGCTTCTAAGCAATAAAGTTCTTAATTAAAGTAATACCAATATTGGGATTTTTAGCTTGGAGCCTCAATATAATTTGAAAGAAACATCTTGTTAATTAACAATCCCTTCTCATCTAATTAACAGAGAGAATGGTAATTATAAGAACAAAGTATGCTGGGTCGCTTTTTTCATCAGTGAAGGTGTCAATATAATAAGTGTAAAATGAAATTAAAAAAAACGAACATAAGTCCAGCAGATATCAAATGATCCATGGAAACGAAGTGGTGTGGAAGGAATGCTGAGAGTAATGATTTTGATGCTAAAAGTTCATAACATGGTCATCATAAAGAATGTATTGTTTTGAATGATTTAACAAAGTTAAATTTAGTAGGTTTATTCTGAATCTTTGGCCAGAAGCAAACATAAGAATCGAACAGATCTTGGAGAAAATAACCAGAATAGTAAGTTAACCTTTAACAGGATTGATTTTTCTTTTTCTTATTTCCGATTTTCTTTCAGATCAATGTTAGGATTTTGATCATAATTTTACTCGATTCATTTGAATGAATTCATTGATGTTAAATGAATTGTAAGAATTGATATTTTTCCCTTTATTTTCCAAAGTACAATGTACAGAAAGTGATTATATAGGAAATAATATACAGAGGTTTTTGTTTTCATTTAAAAGCAAAAAAACCAATCGTTCATTAAGAGATGAGCTTACTGAGACACAGGGTGTAGCTTGGTGCCGAATATACTTCTATTCTCTCATTTCTCTATCGATTATAATCTTGTATGAATGGATATGATATGATCCCTTTGGAGGATAAATGTGAGGAAATTAATCCTTTATTGTATAATTCAATAAGAATATCACTCTTGTAATGAATGTATAGATTTTTTTAGAAGTCATTGTTCAATTTCTCTAAGGAAATTTTCACATCTGCTCACTTGATTTTTCGATTTAATGAGAATTCAGCATAAAATATCGTGAAAATCACTCTAACTCATAGGGCCATTTATCTAGAATTGCTCGAATTTCTCTCTCTCTCTCTCTCTCTTAGATTAAGGCTCACATCCACCTGTGGTTTATAATATAAATAATATTTTATTCACCAGAATTTTTCTTTACATATATTGCATGCAATATTATCAAGCTTCACACTGAGCTCTTGTTGAACAAGGTAAATAATTTTATTCACAAGAATTTTTTAAACATATATCAATATTTTCATCAGGCCAAATTACCTAAGATTCAAAGCATTTGTTATAAAATTATCCCTTAACGTTTTATATTACACATCATTAATCAATAGAGCTTATTCCAAACATTCAGATTCGTTAACAGTAAAAATACCCTTTTATTAGTCTTTTTTAAGCCGTGATTCCATTCGTTTTGATTAGCAATGGTAGAAAATACTTTGATAATTATTGGTGGGTGACAATTCAGTTCTCTTTTTTTAAGGTCTGAAATTTGAAATTCTCTTAAAATGCCTTCTTCAAAAGCGATTGTCTCGTCCCCTCGTTTGTGATGTCTTAATTGTGCATTTTCTCTCTCGCAGTATTTTACTCTTCAGTTTGCTGTAAAAATTTCGCAACTTTTTGCAATGATATAGACAGGCAAAATGTTTTGTGGCTATTTCTATGTTATAATTATTTATTTATTTATTTATTTTTGGTAAATGTTGATCTTCAGTAGGTGTAACCATGATAGGCTTTCATTTTCGTAATGAAATCCTTTATTGCGATTCTTCAGCCACCATTTTTGGTATGTTTATATCAGAGATCTGGAAGTCGTCAATCTTCATAATCAGCTTGTACAAGGTTCTTAATATCACAAGGATCTAAAATTTATTTTTATTGATTTTCTGTTGATGTTTGTCCATTCTTGTTATACAGCATAACACCCTAACTCACTGATTGTACCGCCCTGTTGAAATAGTAGATTACACTTATTTAATAGCCTACATAACATTACTGCATTGCCTTACTCAATATACTTGTATCTCATTTGGATTAATTAATTTCTTTTCAGATAACATGGAACAACCACATGTAACTAATACATTTAGAATTCTCGTCAATCCCGAGTAGATGACAGAGTAATGGAGGATAATGTACAAAGAGTTAAATTTAACATCAGAGGCAGGACATTCGAAACTTTTGCTTCAACAATAAATAATATTTCGAATTCGAAACTTGCAAAACTGACACGTGATCACACATCATATGACACAGAGAAACAGGAATATTTCTTTGACAGAGATCCCGAACTCTTTAATGTGATCTTGAATCTTTTGGTAACTGGGAACTTACATGTCCCGAAGCATATCTGTGGAGCATTGCTACGAGACGAGTTGAGTTTTTGGGAGATCGAGACTGGAAACGTCAGAGAGTGTTGCTGGAGGCAGTATTTCCAACACGAGGATGATATGGCAGTTTTAAACGATCTGATTCAACACGAGGATTTGAAAAATTCTTGGACAGAGTGCGAGACAGTTAAGGAGAGAGTTTGGCTAATCTTAAATAATCCCGGATCTTCAAAACTCGCAAAGGTACCTTTTCAAATACTGTAGAATTTGCAATTTATATTAGTATTACTTTAATATCGTGAAATGACTCGTAGACGTCAAAATTCGCGAGTGAACCGTTGATCAAGAGATTTTACAAGTATTTCGGTAGCGAGTTATCTTATTTTTCGAGAGGCGCTTCTCGCAAAATAAGGCAACGATTAATATTCCTCGAGTATATATATCTAGGATTCTACAAAACAAATCTATTTTAGGCAATTTATTTCATTCGAAACACTTCTTATATTTTCAAGTATATCACATAAATTTCTGACTAAAAATCTACCAGAGTATTTTAATACAGTTTTAAAAATACCAGGTTTATTAGTTCACAAGCTACAGATAATATTTTTTGATAAATTAAAATCTGTTTTATCAAATATAGATTCTTGAATGTTCAATTTTATAATAGTTCATACCCCCCCCCAAAAAAAAAAAATACCAGCGATAATGTAAATCTACAGTACTAGTTAGTTAAACTGTGACAATGCTACTACAGAGAACTATATCATAGGCTATTTAGTTGTTCGACTATATCAGATCAAGAAAAAAATATGGAGGATATTCAATGTTGTGTTGTTGGATATGGAATTTATTTCATGAGTGGGACAGAATTCTTTGATATTTTCATGAGTGCGAAGCTCGAGTGAAAATATAAAAAGAAGAAGCAATGTCTCACAAATACTAGTAAATCCCATATCCAACTACAAAATATTGAATTTCTGTTTATTACATATATATTTGAGTATTCGATCCTTTCCCATACCATGTGTTCTACTTCAAAATGTCCTGTCAAAAACTGTAAAACCTGTGACATTTGATAACTAGCTCTTCGTTTTCTAGTAATCTTACTGGACAGAGTTTCTATACCAAAATTTGGGAAAATCTGAATTGCAAATCTTCTTACGTTGTCGACGGAATAGAATGTACCATTTGTGTGTTTATTTATGTTGGTGAAACCAACGGTTCACTTAATTTGTGTGCTTATTTATGTTGGTGAAACCAACGGTTCACTTAATAAAAGAATATCGTGGCATAGATTTCAGATTAACAACAGGGACCAGGAGCTTTTATACAAGCATTTTAATTTACCTGGCCATTCTATTGTGTCAGTAAAAGTTAGAATTCTAGAAAAAAATTACCATCATACTAATAGCCTATCACTGAGTACACCTTTCCGTAGACAACGAGAAGAATACTCAGGCCCGTAGGAAGCAATTTCAGTTGGGGGGGGGGGGGGGCACAGTCATACATTATTTAGTTGGCACTACCAAAAATTTCCTGACAAGCAAAAAAAAAAAAAAGGTCATCAGGCGTTTTTATTGAGGGGGCACAAACATATAGTATCCGCGACACTTGGCAAGGATGAGCCAGGGAACCAGGCTACTTTCATTCACTGCTACCTTATGTAAATAAAAAATTAGGCCTTCATCACATTCGTACCAAACTTTTCTCTGTCCCTTTTTAAGTTTTGAATATTCTATTTGTAAAAGTCAAGGAAAGTCCATATTTGGATTCCTCCACACCAGAATACAGGCTCGGATCTGTGGTTATGGAGATTGCAAATCATAGACTTTTTTAACCGCCATGTTTTACGAAAGAAAATACAGCTAAATCTACCTGTTTTTTCCTTAATCTTCAATATGCCTACAAAGGAATTGACGCGGTTAATATAACTAATATTCTTAATCACAAAAGGGGTCCGGTCTAATTGAAGACTACAACCTGTATTTCCTATAAATATACCTCGACTTTTTAATTACAAGAAAACTTAACAGAGCCTGAATATTGAGCATCTGAAACATAATCCTCCATCGTGTTCATGTTCTTCTTCACCCTACAACAATAGTCCTGCTGGACACGTCATTGCTGGTGACGTAAATATAGTTAATAATGAGGACCTTAAATCACTTATTTTAAAAGGGCCAAAATTTAGGGGCCCCGATCTTTCAACTGGAATCATAATTTTATAAATATTACAAATTCTGTGGAAGATTACGCCAGGCGATGGGCCAGACATGAAAAAGAATACCTTGACACTTTGTCAGAATGGATTAAATGTATCAGATATATGTTAAAATCTCGCATTAAGCGATTGAGGGGCAATATGAAAACCATCTATCCTTCTGTGTTCAATAATTCAGAGGTGAAAAAAGAATTAGACTACACGAAAGTATGTACTGGTCCCAGCTGAGAAAGCAGGTAACAACATTGTCTTTGTTTGTAAGGCTCATTATTTTAATTGTATTTTAGAAGAACTGGGATTTAATTCTACAAGTGGTAATCCAACTTAATTATACCTAAGGAGGAAATTCTTCAAAATCCTATGTCAGTTTTGAATATTTTTAATATTCACAACAACCAAATTGAATTTGAATTACCATATTTATATTTGATTCCGAAACTTCATAAAACTTCTTACAAACAAAGATACATAGCGGGTTCCAGTAAATGTTCTACCAAGCCTCTTTCTTTACTCGGTGTGTTCCCCGAACGGCTACTCGCCAAAAAAAACAAGTAATTATCACACTCAATTAAGGGGCCCTCTAAGGGGTACAGGTAGACTTACCTGTGTTTACCTGGATTAGCAATATTTGATAAATCAGATTAAAATCCATTCAATTCAAAGACTTTTTTTAATTTTCAGAATTCTACTATATAAAAGGAAAAAAAAAATAGATAAAATTAAGATAAATCAGATAAATTCATTCAATTTCATTTTAATTTAGAGATTTTTTTTAATTTTCAAAACTCTAACGTGTAAAAGAAAAAAAATGCACAAAATTAAGATCCTTTGTATGATTGTACTTAAAATAAAAAAAAAAAATTGTACCTTTAATATTATTTTTTCCAAATTATTCAATAGTATTGATGGAAAATTTACATATAATTATTTATAATTATATTTTTAAAAAAAATCATAAATTATTTTTTCATAAAATTAATACACACACATAAATTATCTATAAATTTCTCTATCCGAGAAGTGTTTCCGGACATCACAACCAAGGGATGTTTTTTTCACTTCACCCAGGCTATTTGGCGAAAAGCTCAACAGACAGGACTACAGATCCCCTACAAAGATGACGACAACGTAAAGACCTTGGTTAGAAGAGCAGCAGTTCTTCCCCTTGTTCCCCTGGACTGTATTGAAAACGTTTGGTTCAGAGCCCTGGAAGACAGAGATGAAGCTGACCTCACACAAGCTACAGCATCCTTCACAGACTATGTAACAGAACAGTGGGTTAACGGTAACAGACTTTTATGGAATCATTTTGGAATAGAGGGACCACGGACCAACAACAGCCTTGAAGGATGGCACAGCACGCACATCCCAACATCTTCATCGTCGTAAAGATGTTCAAAGATATACAGAATGCTAAACAAATTCAAAAGATTCAGAGGGAAGCCGGCGGGACCATTAGACCTCCAGCAAAAAAGTATGCAACTATAAAGAGAAGATTGCAGTTACTGAAAGAAAGGTACCAGGATGGCATCATTGACCTTATGGCGTACGCAGACTCTGCATCTGAACTACTTCACCTAGGATAGTGATCCCTTAGTTGTGACTAAATAAATTGTAAATATTGTAAATTTGTGTGGTGTGAAAGTGAAACAGTGCTTTTTTACTTATTATGAAATATGAAGTTTGTTAAATAGTGCTGTTAAACAATAGAACTTCAAGACAATTTAAAGTAAAAAATCTGTTTAATTCTTAATTTTACTATGTTTTGTGCTTGTAAAATAATTTATTTAAAAAATTGTACACAATATATATATATCTAAACTTCTGCTAAAATAAAAAAAAAACTTCATTACAAATCCATTTTATTTTATTTTGTTTAAAGTAACTTAAATTCTGGCAGATTATTCATACAGGTAAGTCTACCTGTACCCCTTAGAGGGCCCATTAATTGAGTGTGATAATTACTTGTTGTTTTTGGCGAGTAGCTGTTCGGGGAATAAGCCCTTCACTCCTCACTAAAATATTAACATCAGTGAAGGAGACACTTCAGGGGTACTGTGCAACAATATATTTGAGAAGTGATGTAAATCAGATGTGGATACTTAAAGATTCCAAGGAACTTTTAGAAAATTTGAAATCACAAAATTTTTCCAAAATCAATAACATAAAAATTTACAACTTTTCAACTCTTTATACAACCTTTCCCCATGAAAAATTAAAGTCCAGGCTTTTTGACATCATTAACAGCTGCTTTTTCAATAAAAATGGCACTCGTTAATTTACTTACCTTGTCATTGGTAATTTGCAAATTAAATTATTTTGTTAAAAAACATTCTGATTGTACACACAAGATGCTTGAGTTTCTGTTTGACAATATCTATGTGTTTTTTGGAGATCAGGTCTTCCATCAATGTGTTGGAATCCTCATGGGTACTAATTATGCCCCTTATTAGCAAACCTATTTTTGTAATCATATAAAGCAGAATTTATTTACTTTTCAATCGTCAACTTCCCTTACTTATGCAGCAATATACCCTCAGCACCTGCATATGAGATTTATATTTCGCAGTTGATTCGATACGCAAGAGCATGCACTTCGTATGAACAACTTTTAAAACGAGGTAAAATATTGACAAGTTGATGAAACAAGAATATCAACAGTCTCGTTTAAAGTCATCATTTCGTAAGTTCTATGGTCGAAACAATGACCTTGTTAGCAATACAATCTATCATTAAGTCATATGCTGACTGACGTTTTCCAAACTTATTGTTAGGTCATTATTTACACACTGAATTGCCGACGGATTTTTCCGTTATTTACCGATGATGACAAGGAGCACACGCGGGTGTAACCGGTCGGCAGGGGATGCTCTCTCCTCCATGGCACCTGATCCCACTTTTGATGTTGTTGGAGGTCCGTGTTTGCTCTGCTCCCGATTTGTATTGTTTTAATGGACTTTGAGTTTGAATACTCTTCGTTATCTCGATATTTCATCTTGTTAGGTTTTCCTTTTGCCACTATCATTTTTTTAAGTGTCGTAGGCTGTGTTGTCATGGTGAGTTGCTGTGAGCTAAGCGATGGGACATTGAAAACTGTAGAAATAATATTAACAAGAATTTGCAGAAACTGGTAATTTTAATAAGTGTGAGGATGGTTTATTTACTCTCACTATTTTATAACGGAGTATTTTCTTTATAACATATATATTAGTGAAGAGAGTGAATATCTCGAGTTTTGCCGCACTTCTGATAGTTTTCACTGGAAAAATATCACTTTGATATTTTTCACTGTAAATAATTTCACTTTCAAATATATCACTTTTATTCAGTGAATAAATTACAGTATTTCACTTTTGAAAATGTAATAAATTGAATCATGCTTTGAATGACTTACGCGCAAAACTTTCTAAAGAGAAAGGTATCTAAAGGTAACGGTTGATTAGACAGGCAGCCTCATCGAACGATGCCGGAAATAATCGCGGGCCACCATGTTGGTTACCACCTGACACCAAATCATAGACATTATTTCTTAAATATAGAATCACTTTGGTATATGGACATATGCACTCTTATTTATTTAAATTATAGTTACTGGGGTAACCAGTCTGGTTCATAAAAAAAATAAATCCATAGAAAAATGTTCTCAATATCAAAGTTACACATTGGCGACAAAAAGGAATTCATGATTTATAAAAATATATATATTTTTTTAAATATTTATTTTTCAACAAGAAATACCAGGATAATACAGTTGAATATTACGTTTTATAGATTGATTTTGACAATATTATTCAGAGTGGAAGTTTCTCTCTTTGCAGACCTGGTACTGCCTATACCTATGTGTGGTGTTTCTGAGTATCGTGATCTTCTGTATTTGGAACATTCAGGATCTCCGTACAGACTTGTATGTATCTGAAATCATCACACATCACTACCCTGACATACACCTCTCCGGGAACGACAAACTGACCACTTTAATCCTCACTGACCCTGTTCCAGCTCTATTCGCGTTGGAAACCGGGTGTCTGTTATTTTTCATGGTTGAATGGAGCGTAGGGTTCTTTGTATGTCCCAATAAAAGAGAGTACCTGTCGTCATGGACCCACATTGTCAGCTTTGTTCTTGTATTTGCGATGTTAATGAATTTTGTTATGGAGTTTTTCAAGTCAATCCTTGCGGAAAATGAAGTCGCCCGATGGTTCTATTTTATTTTTAAAGCCATAAGCATGGTTCGATTGCTCCTCTTCATTCGCCTCGCCCGTCGTTTTAGCGCATTAAGAGTTCTTCTCCTTGCCATAAAACACAGTCTCTTGGAACTGTTGTTGATGGCTATCACGTTTTGTATTGGAATGTTATTCTTTGCTACGTTGATATACTACGCTGAGATTACAAATACCAATTCATTCTCGAGCATTTTCATTTCAATGTGGTGGGCTATTATCACCATGACAACTGTTGGCTATGGAGATGTATATCCCACTTCCATTGCGGGTTATATTGTCGGAGTGTTATGCGCGTTATCTGGCCTTTTGTTATTAGCCATGCCAGTAGCAATCATCGCATCTAACTTTTCCGAATATTATAGTCAAAACAGTTTTCATCAACGATTTCTAAAACTCCAAAAAGAAAAAAAGACCACGGATATTAGTCAAATAAATAAAGTTCACCCGCATAAGAATACAAAAATTGAAGATGTAAATTCAAATAACCATTGAGTGTTTGTGTTGCTGGTGTAATATATGTATGTAATGTTGTCTTTTTTAAAAGTTAAAAAAAGTTTATGTTTGTGTAATATTTGCATTTTAATCATGTTATTACTATATATGGACAATAAATATGAATTTACTAACGATAAAAAGTCATGAAATTTCGGAAGACGAAGTATCCCTATGGATTTTAAAATCTGCAGTTGTAATAAAGAAAAAGAAAAATTAATTTTTGTCTATTTTGTCAGAACTATACGTATATTTGTATTTATCGGCGTTATTTTGTGTATTCCTTCTTACTTTGGGGAGGGGGGGGGGGGGAATTAGTTCAAAGTGCACTCTTGACACAGAGTGCCCATATACAATTTTCTAAATGTGAACTTGATCTTGCCAATATAATTTGCTTAAAAAAACCTCTGGTAGTAAGTAATCTTTGAGTGAAATATCTAGAGACATCCAATGTTTCTCCATTAGAGCGTTACGGACCTAACATGAATTCTTTCTCTCTTTCTTTTTTTTTATACTATCGACCTTTAACTCGCCAGAATGAGGTTCAAGGTTATGACATACCCTCAGCTCAAAGTATTTTTGTTGGAAGTACATGTATCATCTTCCAATACCTATCCCTGAGAGGTTATATGAACTGATAACAAATTTTGTACATTGTTTCTGCTAGTGACTTTGAACTTACAGAATGACCTTGGGTAAGGTCATGACACATATTCAGGACATAGGTAATATTTGTGTGAAAAATGAACTTCCAATGTTTTCCCATTAGAAAGGATGACTGCACTTAAGGACATGCGAAAATTGCGACAAAATAAACTTTCAAAACAAGCATTTTTCTTTTAATTGCACAAATGGTCAACATCTAATCTACAACTTTATGTAATTAAATTAAATAAAAGTACGTATTTACGAAGTACGAAGCTGTTTTCTAAGGCGGGGGTCATCACAATTCCTTGAATCTCCGTACGATAATGAGGACGCCCACCTTTTCACTGACTTTATACATAGTCAGCGCATGTTTGTCTATTGTTCTCCGTTTAACAGTAGTTGTATATTTGCATTAACAATGTTGTGTCAAAAGGAGATTAATAGACAAACATGCGCTCATGGTTTAAACGAGAAAAAACTGCTTCTTCTTACATCGCTCTCTCTATTGTAACCAAGGGCTGTGACATGTTGAATATTATAATTCACCACGTGATTTCTTACCTCAGGTAACTCTGTGAATATTAAATTCCGTCACGTGACTTGTAAAGTAGTATGTTTTGTGCTAACTAGGACAAAGTGCTCGAACACGTTAAATTGTTAGGCATTGATTTAAAAGATACTTTACTTACATGGACGTCGCTCATATTGTTAATTTCGTTTTTGAAACCTCTGAAAATAGTGTTCTTGTGCCATACAGAATAAAGAGGGAATGAGAAGGAATGGGAAAGAGTGATCTCGTATTTTTTAAATACATGTCATTGTTATTTATCTAGTCTAATTTTAGAGCCATTCTTACAATGTTAGCTCCACCTCTCATGCATACCTAATGTTTAATCAAGGGCAGGTAAGTGTAAATTCTCTACACTTGGAAAGAGTAAGGACAGAAAACATAGAATCATTTTATTGTATAACAGTCTAAGATCATTGTAATATTTAAATTCGGCTCGAAATTGACAGGATTCTTTCATAAATATATGAAAATGAAATAAGAGTTTGATATAAAAGCAACAGAAGCGACCGAAAAAGACCCAAAAACCGGCGTTAAGTGCAGTCATCCTTTACAGACCAGACATGAATTTAATACTTTTTCCGTCAGTGACCTTGACCAGCCAAAACTTTCTTGGATTAAGATCATGACACACCCTTAGGTCATAGACAATATTTGTGTCAAGTATCAACTTCCAATTAGCCTCCATGAGAGAGTTATGGACAACACACAAATGATACACTTTTTCTGTCGGTGGCCTTGAACTACCTTTAATGTCTTGGGTCAGGGTCAGTAATTACTCTCAGGTCATAAGCAAGCGTGGTGAAAAGTCTCATATTCTCAATTAGAAGCTATGGTCAACACAGGAATTTAACATTTTTATGAAAGTAATCCTGAACTTGATCAAATGGCCTTGGCTTCTGTATACCTTGAATCCTATTAACACCCCCTACTTCTTTTGCGGGAGTATAAATATTTGAGCATTTCTACGATATGTTAAAAACATAAATTTCAATGCTCATGAAAACAACCCACCATCTGATAAAACAGGCCGTAGGAAGCAATTTCAGATTGGAGTAGGGGGAGCGGCTACCAAACATTTTCAGTTTGGGATTGAGGGCACAACGAAAGAAAAATTCCTTGACAACAAGAAAAAATCATCAAACCCCCGTGCCCCCCCCCCCCCCCACACACACTTCCTATGGACCTGAAAGAAAGAAGATCTGTTGCCAACTTTGAACTGATAATTCATGTTGTCATGCTAAAATAGCTCTGTTTTTCGCTCGTTTTTATTGTTTTTATCAAGTACATAAACTTCCATTGAAAGGAGTTAACAACATGTTTGGATACCAAGATTTTTATTCCGTAGTTTTAACATGGGTCATCTACAAAGTACCGATATTTAGTTTCAAAACTTGCTCTGATGAAAAAAAAAATCTTAAAAAATGGAAACATTTATTGTAACATTTTATGAATTTCATAAGAGGACTGTTTGAATGTGATCTAAATTTTTTTTTTGTCCGACTCGTGCTCGGAAAAACATCTCCTTATTCTAAACCGTTCCTGGATGAGAGGATTTTTAGTTTTTTCATAGAAGAATCATTACAAGAGTCAAGCGCCAAAGTTTTACTTGAATGATGCCCCGTACATCCCACAAGATCTGACCACCGTTTTTGACAACTTGAAACTCATTGGAAGTTTAAATTCTAAAGGAAGAAACCAGGACGCACATGTGCCTTTTCTGACTGTTGTGGAATGAATTTCTGCAGCAGTGTTAAAGAGCTGGTATGAAGAGCAGTTTCTTTCCTGGAGCAAAATTCCCCAGATGCTGTAATTGACGTCGTATTGCCAGAAACAACCCTCGTCTTTGAACGATATTTGAGTACCGTAGAGGGCCGTTAACACTGGATACAAATATAATAATTGATAACGTTTCCAGCCTACTGAAGAGCGCAAAGAACGTGACTTGCATTGAAATAAGGTACAATCTGATATCTTAGATTCCAACATATCATTTGCACGAGATCCTTCGTGTGCTATATAATGTCTTCTACGAGGCATCAGTAAATGTAGATATGTAGAATTACTCAAACGTTGGGGATCAAAACGATAACAAAAACATAAATTATAGAAGGTATCATGTTGGACTCCATTTACAATGTAAGACTGATTATATTAGTCATTTAAGAAATGAATTTAATTGTTGAGAATTCATGAGGACATGAACTTCGACACTTCACGTCGGCATATTTCATGAAGCGCGTTAACTCTTCATGATAAACATGCAAACGTGAAGCGTTATAGTTCATGTACCTCATGAATTCTCAACAATTAAATTTATATCCTTTACTTAATTATTTTTCTGATGACTTGTCACATATTTTTGTCATTCAACGATCATTCTTGAAAAAAAAAGTTTGCACTATTTTTTGGCTTTAAATGCATCACAATGAAAATATTCTTACTCATCCCACGGTAGTTCATGAGAATATCGTGTACTTTTTCTAATTTGCAAAGAATTTTAAGGACATGTATTTGGAAATGTAAATATACAATTATGTTTTGTGATGATCATTTAATCCCAGCATCTATACAGTCAAGAGGCATTCTCGACGTGATTGTAAAAGTAATCAAATCAGATAAGAGCTCGTTTGATAAAATGAGTAAGAATGTCTATGATCAGTATTGTATCTGACATGTTCTGGATGTGAGTATAGCATAAAGGTTTTGGAACAATTACTTTGTTAAATGACAAAATATCGTGCATTGACAAAGCTTGACAAGATATCGCATCCTTTGGTGCATATTACTATTTATGTTTTTGGATCTCGAATTTGTCCTTAATTCTCTGGAAGAATAATCAGGTTAAGGTTTTAGAGCATCTTTATCTAGATGGCTCCGCTGACATTCAAGTTTAAAGTAATTGAATATCTAAACTAAAAATCTCAAAGTACAGAGAGCTTGCTTTATCCATTTTTGCACACTGGTATTTTGTTCTAACAGGCAAAATATTTCCCCCCTAAATCTATCTGGATTTTGTTTATAAATAGAGTGAAATTTACAAAGAACCACTATTTGATAGTTTTTCAACGTACTTCTTATATATGAGTGTTTGGTTAGGCATATGTTATTGTATAAAGTCAATTGATCCTGTTTCCTGTGCACCGTGTAGATACTCTTTATCCAAAGGTGAATAATCATTTGTCTTAAGCATAAGTGTTTTAGCGATAATCAAATAATCAAGAATTAACAGTTTAGACATCTTTAATTACCAATAACACATTTATTATCGAAACAGGGTTATCATCAAATATTTCTGCTCAATTCTATGGTTTCAATTGATATAAAATGTTTTATTTTAATGAAAAATGTAGTTGTCATTGTGTAAGCTCAGACAATTTTTATTTAAGCAATAGAATGCTTTCTTTGGTTGTTAGTATGGGAATGTAATGTTGCAGAGCTCTGTTGTAAGGGGAAAAAGTGCCTAACGTTATTTTTTCTGCAAAAGCTGCAACTAAAATCCCCATACTAACCCAAAAAAATAAAGTAAAAGAAAGAAAAATATTTTATTGTGTATATTTATATCTCTTTAAATAATCATCTATTTGTGGTTGTGTTAGAAAGTGCCAGAGGGATAAAACGTACGCTCAACTAGGACCTAAGGTCACCAACTCATTCACAACTATCAAACCTGTTTACTCCGCTACAAAATATAGTGCATTGCAACAGCAAAGTGAAAGTAAAATAAATTGCACTACTCGGACACCTTTACAAATGTAATACAACGGGGAAATTAGACGTTATTTCTTTACTATTTCGGTAAAATAATTCTTTAATGATAACATGTATAAAATCATGAGTAAAGTATTTT